ATGTTAAAACTTTTAAACCATCTGAATGTGTGAAGAGAGTGGTTAAAGAGCTGAAAATAACGAGTTCCTGGTGAGCCACTACAAATATTGCATCCCTTGGACACTCATATGGATTAGTATGGAATTTATACTTGATGTATATTTGCTTAATAAGAAAAATGTTATGCACTGTATGAATTAAGTCCTCATTTCGATAAATTGTATTTGTGAAAGTATGCCCAAAACGAGGTTGAGAAGAATATCTAATGTTAGCCACAGCAGTACTACTTTTCTTATGATTCCTTTTCACGTTTTTACTTTTTTTTTTTTAACTAAATTTTCTCATAGTGAAGATGTATTATGTTCATAATGAAGAAATATTCTAAAGTTACATGAGGTTAAGTTCTTACTCATATCTACATTTTTCTAAATTATGATAATTGTGTGATTTCTGCTATAACCTAATAAAAATGTGGCTTTTATTACTTAACTTATCCTTTCAATTGTTTATATTTTTCTAATGAGAATTTAATTTTTTTTATAATGTAAAGAAGGAAACTATCACTCTGTATCAATTGTTAACTTAGCATCAAGACTTTCTATACATCTCTTAAATTCTATATTTATTTTCATTTCCCCAGGACTTAAAATAAAGATAGTTTTTTTTAACACCTACCTACTTCCAACACATAATACTATAAAATACCTTAAGCACTATGGAAACTCAGTTTTATGTACAATCTACAAGATATTATCTCCCAATACTTTTGTCCTGAAAAAAAAAAACCCCGTAGGAATTAAGAAAAGAGCATATTTTTTTAATCCATAAGTTGTTCTTTTTGTCCTGCTTCTTCCATTTTCCATTATTTTGTCTATTTGTTTTCCCTATTTTTTCCCTAGCATTAACCCTTCCTTTTAAATATACCTTTCCTGCATATACATATATGTTTTCCCTTCTACTCTTTCTAAATCCTTCCACATATTTATTTTCCTTATGTATTTTTTATACTGAAAAGTATTAGTGTGATTATGTCTTTGAATTTACTGATGTGGTTAGGTAAAGGGGCAGAATTTTCAGAATCATATTTACTATTCCTTTTTAAAATGTTTTATTTTGGATGAAAATATATACACAGCAAAACACACACCAATACAATTTCTACATGTATAATTCAGTGTGTTGATTCTTCATGTTTGTCATCATTCTCACGCTCTTAACCTTGGGCTTCCTGTCCCTAAAACTTCTTGTCCACACTTTTGAGGTGGTATTGGCAATTTTTGGAACCCTGGTGTGTAATGGATTTCACTTGGCTGCAATCCAAATGATTGGCAGTTCAAAACCCCCAGCAGCTCCTTACAAGGGAGACTGGACTTTCTACTCCCATAAATACAGTCTCAGAAACCCACAGGAGGGTCGTTAAGAACCAGCATTGACTCAATGACACTGAGATTGTCCATTTTATCTCATGTAGGTAATTTTTATAAAAAGATAAATTCTCAAGAAAACATTTCCTTTTCCCCCCTGATGGAGTCGAGCTGCTGTTTGACTTAAAGATGACTTAGGGGACAATGTTGACTCAAGATTTAAAGATTATCTTGAGGCAATAAATTTGGGGGTTCAACCAGTCTCATTGGGTCTGGTAAAATGAAATTTTATAGAATTGTAAAATTCTATATTTCGCCCACCTTGACAGAACCATGTTTTCCTAAAGACAAAATTATCTGTAATCTCAGTATCAGATGAAAGTCACTTTCCGGGAGCATGGCAGTAGAGTGATCATGATCTACATCTCTGTTTCTTTTGAAACAGTGAGCTCTCTTGCCTTTACTGCCTCCCCTGTAGAATGCAGCTGGGTGTGTGTGATGGGGGGTGGGGAGCTAAGTATTTTATCATTTATAAAACTTTTTCATCTCCAGTACTGTATAAGCGGAACCCTGATGGCGTAGCGGTTCTGAGTTAGACTGCTAACTCAGAGGTCAGTAGCTCAGCTGCTCGAAACCACAAGTCGCTCTTAGGAGAAAGAGGAGGCTCTCGAATACCTGAAAGAGTTACAGTCTCAGAAACTCACAGAGCAGTCCTGCTTTGTCCTATTGGGCCACCCGGGCGGGGTTCTTGTTGTTCTTCTGGGGCTATTCTATAAATGCACAGGATTGGCCATTTAATATTTCTTTAAAGGAAATGACTCATGACTACAAGTAAAGTGCACTTGGCATTTCAGCAAGCCATAGTTCCAAGAAATGCAAGCGCAAATATCAAGGTCTACTTAATGTAACAGCTAATCTAACTTAAAGAGCTAACTTTTGCTATCGCCCTGTCAGCAAAGGTCCTGAGGGTCTGAGGACAAATTGATTGATTGATTGATTGATTGATTGATTGATTGATTGATTGATTGAAAAGTGAAAAATATCCCCAAATTTCCAACTGAGGTGCTAGGATTCTTGGATAAATCCATTTTTGTCAAGAGATTCACTTCCGTCATGTCCATTCTGGCTCATAGCAACCTGATAGGAAAGAGTAGGAAATGCCTCCTGAAATTTTCTGAGACTGACATTTTATGAGAGTAGAAAGCCTCATCTTTCTGCCTCAGGGCACCTGCTATTTTAAAGGTGCTGACCTTGTGGTTAGAAGCTCAATATATGGAGCATAATGCCACCAGTGCTCCACATTTTGCCAAGACACTAGCTCAAAGTTGATCTTGTAGCCTTTCCTCCAATCCCTACTTTATAGTACAAACTGCAGAAACCAAAAGAGAGGATTGTGTTGGAGGGTAGATGTGCGCAGACTAATCAAAGAGCTTAGTAGTGGAACAGAGTGGAGCAATGTCCCATCAGACTGGAAAAAGTCTACAGGAGGTCACCAGGGAACTGCCAATTCTACCCCTAGGGAAAGAGTAAACTAAGCCGAGTGAACTGCAATGTCAACCTATCCCTTCTCATGCGCCATGCCATCGCTCAGTCAATCATTAATGGACAGGGAACTGAGGCGAAGGTGGTCAAAAGGAGAAGACAAAGAGTATGACAGGCTCAGAGAAGAAACTTTTAAAAATCTACCAACTCCAGTGTAACATATGACAAATTAATAATAATTTATGAATTATGAAGGGTTCATGAGGGAGGGGGAGGGGGGAAATGAGCAGCCGATATTAAGGACTAAAGTAGGAGGCAAATGTTTTGAGAATGATGAGGGCAAGAAATGTACAAATGTGCTTGACACAATGGATGTATGTATGGATTGTGATAAGAATTGTACAAGCTCCCAATAAAATGATTTTTTTAAAAAAATCTACCAGCTCTCCCTTGAACTATGCATAGACATGTCATGATCATCTGAGAGTATCTTTAAAAAGTTGGGTAGAAAGGGGGAATTGATTACAGGGATCTACATATAACCTCCTCTCTGGGGGATGGGCAGCAGAGGGGTGGGTGAAGGAAGACGCCAGGCAGTGTAAGATAAGATATAATAATAATAATTTATAAATTGTTAAGGGTTCATGGGGGGGGGGCAAAAAGAAAATGAGCTGATTCTGGGAACCCAAGAGGAAAGCGAATTTTGGGAATGATGAGGGCAACAAATGTATAGGTGTGCTTTACACAATTGATCTATGTATTGTGATGAATTGTATGAACCCCAATAAAATGATTTTTTAAAAAGTTGGGATAAATAATGTTTTCTGTTCTACTGGCTGGGCTTGAAAGGCCATTGAGAATAGAGTGAGAATACAACTATAAATGCTTAGTGTGGTAGTTACTTAATCTGGTGTCAACTTGTGGAGAGGTGGAGTTTAGCTGTCAATCAGATTGCAGCTTGATGACTTCATTTGGAGGCACAAAGGAGATAAGTAACTCCCTGGAAGACAGACTCTCTGCTTCCAATTATTGATGGAGACAGAGCCCTTGAGCTGGAAGAACCATGTAGAGACTCACACCAGTGCTGAGATGCTTCCACTGCCACTGGATCTACAAGACTTTCCACCCACTGGCCTGTGATCTTCCTGCATTCAGCATTATTGCATGGCTGTGTGAGTCAAAAGAGGAATTTATGGACTAGTATTGGACATATGGGCTAATATTGGACTTACGGACTTGATCTGGATTGGGCTGTGGTGTTTTCTTAATATACAACCACTCTTTATATAAAGCTCTTTCCTATACACATATGAGTGTCCATGAATTTGTTTCTCTAGTCTATCTGTAATAACACACTTATTCTCTACGAAGTCCCATCTGTTTTATAATTTTCCAGTGGCATTTAACTTAAGTATAATGAAAATTTATAGAGATCTTTTCTTGTCCACTCAGAGCAAGTCCTATTTATTTATTTCTTCACTTGGAGTAGATAGTAAGTAAACTAAATGAAAACATTTTTCTTTTTCTTTAAGCAGTTGATTAAAATAGCTATGTCTATAAGAATTCCATGTTATCATGGAGTCACATATCAAAAAGAACAGGTGAATTCTTTTTAGAAACATTTACTATAAGCTTAGACTGTAGGTAGATTATCAGAGCATGGATTAGCAGCAGTAAAGGGCAAAAGAAATACATAAACTGACAGTAGAGAGTTAAAAAGTCTAAGAACGATGTAACATGGTAAGAGGAGTGATATCTAACATTCAGAATCAAGTTCTTTGAACTTCTGTGAAATAAACCCAAATCCACTGTAACAAAGCCAGGAGTAAAATCTAACACACACACATTTTAGGGGGAAAAGGGGGGTCACTAATTTCCACAATTAGGTTGATGGTGGGACAGAAATCAAAGACTAGAAGATATTGAATAGAAATTGGAAATTGAAAGTAGGCAGAAAATACAAACCAAACAACATGTAGTTCCAATGTAAGTGCTGATTCCGTGCGCGCGCGCGCGCACACACACACACACACACACACACACACACACACGGTTTTATAGAAATGTTGAGAATGGTCTAGGCATTCCATAGAGCACAGAAATGAGTTTAGTTTAATCTTATCACCAGTACAAAGACTCCAGTTTGTATTTTAGTAACATTTAAAAGCACTTACTCAGATGCTGAGTCTTCCTTGTTTTTCTGATCAAGTAAAGAACGTTCAGCTAGGTCTGAGCATGACTCTCCCGTAGGAAGCGATGGGAATCTCTCTAGGCTTTTCTCTTGAATTTCATTTTCCGTTAAATTAGTGTCTTCTTTTGGAACGGGAATACGATTTTCAATTTGCCAATGCTTTTCCTGAAACAGACAAACAGAATAGCTATTTTGCTTTTATCTCTCCAATTATGATTGTGTACACTGTGTAGTCTACTAATTGAAATCCTGAAGATGCAAAAATAAATAAAATATTTTTATTTTCTGAGCTTCCGCTCTTCATAGAGATGAGGCCTGCACATCTAACGTTAATCATTGTATACGGTGCCAAAGGTCATCAGGAAAACTCAACCTCTCTGAAGAGACGATAATGTGCTACAAAAAAAACTTAACCATTTTGCTTTAAACGTAACATGAACATTTACTGAAAAGGAAACGTTTTTCCAAAAATTGCTAGCTAATTTTTCCTACAACTGTGTTCCTTGCATCTCACCTCTGAAAATAAAAAAGAAAACATCCAAAAGAAAAGAAAAGAAAACATTTTCAAAAGTCAATCCAAATTTTGTTACAAATTTTATTTTAGTATTTCTATAGATCTTGGTTACAATTCTTCATATGCATATCTAAGCATTAATTATCTATTTTTAAAATATTAATTTTTGAAATCTAACTGGAAACCCAACTTAAGACCAGTGGCTATGTTTTAAAATGCTTCACAATTCTTTAAGAAAATAATACTCCTTTAACAAAAGAATGCAAGCATATTACATAAATTTTAAGCACTTTAATCAGACTATATGCGATAGAAAGTTATGTCAACTTGACTTAGGTGCCGTTGAGACGGCTCTTCCTCCCAGAGCAATTGAAGGAAACACTGTCCCGTCCTCCCCATTGTCCTAGTTTGCTTCCACTGTGGAAGCCACCGTGTCAGTCCCTTGTCAAGGAGCGCCCTCTTTCTCTCTGCTGCTCCACCACATGGAAGCTCAAATGGATGACTGCTTCTTCTAGTTTTGTTGTTTACAACTAAAATCAACTGTTTCATTTTGGGGTACACATATGAAGATGAAAATTTGCACTAAAGTACCGATCCAACTGGTCCACTAAAACTCATGCACTTGGGTTACATTTTAGCATCCAACCTTTGGATCTCCCTTATGATCCATTTAAATTTGTTCTGGTTTTTCCTATTTTCTGCTTTCTTTTTGATTGGGGGTATTTACTACCTGTTTTACTTTATTATTGTTGCTAAGCTTTTAAAAAAATGTTTCTCAGTATATGTAATCCAGGAGAGGTAGCTCTATAGAGACAGTAACTGGAACAATGGTTCCTTGAGGATATGGCAGGGGAGCTTGGGGAGAAATGGGGTAATGATGAGTATAAGAACTCAGGAAATGTTCTAAAACGGATTGTGGCGATGAAGGTACAACTCTTCCTGGTGCAATTGAACAACTGAATGGTATGATAAGTAAATCATATGCCAATAAAGCTGTTTAAAAAAAAACCTCATTCTGACTCTAATTATACTTACTAAGTAGATCCTTTCCCTGTATTTCTGTTTCCTATAAATTGCCTGTCTTTCTATAAAGGATGTCCCTTCTTTGCACTACATGAAGGACATTCACTGCTGATTTTTTCAAGTGATAGAACAGTCTCTTTGTCCTATCCGCTCCTATTTCATTATTGTTCTCTCTCTTTCTCACTCCCATATTCAAGACAGCTTGTCAAAGTGATTTTTTTTTTTTAGTTCAAACAGAAGGCACTAGGAAACTCGGCTGTCCCCAGTTTTCCCCAACCTTTGGGTTTGAAAGCTGGCCCAGCTCTGGTGAAGCTTTTCCTGTCTCTAAAAACAGGGAGAAGAACTATTTCCATGCCAGGTTTTAGGAGCTGAAGTTCTTCAAAAGAGAGAGAGAGAGACTTTACAAAAATTAATGAAAAATATCCGAAGTACAAAAATAATTTTTTTTTACCCAAACACATTTTTCAAGAAAATTAAATTTAGCCACAGATCGTGTTTGGTGAGCAGTTTATGTGGCACCTCCACCCAGACTGGTCATATCTCCTGCTTCAAAATGTGTCGGGAATTTCTTGTACTCCTGACACCGCCCCCTCAATGGCACTTTGTTTCCCTTCTTATCATTCAAACTTTGACTTTCTCTCCCCCAGAGCCATCCTGGCCTTGTAGCAATATCATCAGGTTCTTCAACTCTGAAATCTCACTTTCTAACTAACTTTCTGCGCAGAACACCATCCTGCCTCACCCTGCCTCAGCCACCAACACCTACCCACACACCAGTTCATTTTCCACTCAGCAGCTGTTTTTGCCTGACAGTCTATCTAGCACTTGGCTTCTTTACTCTGTAGAAGCAAACAATGAAGATTTTGAGTGTTAGCTACAGACACATGTATTGGCTAGCCAAACATAGACTCCATATAGCCAGTTTTTAACCTGTTTGCCACCTTCTCTTATATTCTGAATTGCTGAACAGACTTCTTTCAGCACATGTGGGCATCATCAGACTGACAGCAGCCACGGACTTCGGCTTCCAGCACTAAGTGAGGAGCTGGGAGCTCACAGGCTGACAGTGGCATCTGGGCCAACTGAATTGAACCAAGTCAGATGCCCCAGATATAAGTGTGGCTTTGGCTTTAACTTCCTGCCACTGTGTTAATAATGACCCTTGTTGAAACTCGCCTGTCATAGTTTGTCTCCCAAAGCAAAAGCTAACAGGTACCAGCTTCTCATGAAAAGAGGGGGTGGGGGTAGGAATAGCAGAAATGTCAGATTGTGGATATTTCTTTTCTTCAATGCCCTTACTTCATTTACGTTCATAGGCAAGTGTCAATCAGAGCTCAGCTTCATGAGAGAAAGAAATTCAAGACACAAATACTGAAGCAAGCAGACCCTAGTTAAAAGCTAAAGTCTACCACTTACTCTGTGAACTCAGACCACTTACATTCGAAATGCCTCCATTTGCTCATTGGTAAAACTGGAATAACAAGAGCTCCTCCTTCATGTGGCAGTGTGATGATTAAATGATCTATAGAAAGACTGTGGAAGAGAGATCTAGACACAAAGGAAAAACTCCACAAATGTTATCTCTTATTCCTTTGGCAGAAGAAGACCAGCTGATGAGTAGGAAGGGTTTTTTTAAATAAAATGTTCTATATTTATTTATTAGCTTGATTATGACTTAACAGTCACAGTCATGTATTGTTATTAACAACTTGGTAATATTATCCACATTGTAATTTTACTCAATTTTGAAATGGCAGGCATTCATATGTTTTTCTCAGAAATGCTGGAGTATTTTGAACAGCCACCATATTTGCACATCTCTCATGTCCTCTACATAATGGAATAGCCATGATTTATGTACAAAGAATAAGAGCTGACTGGCATTAAGATTCAGATATGGAAGTCAGTTCTTTGATGAGTAATGACCATTAAATAGCCAAGATTCAAAAGGAAGTAATCCCACATTTATGCTAGATATCGAGTAAATACTAGACTAACGAGGAAACAATATTTTTACCTGACCAAAGGTCCAAATAGGGGAACTGCCAACATCAGTTACAGAAATGCTGCAATCGGCTGAGGAGGAAATGATCAGTGGTCGGCTACCCAGCTCACACATCTCTAAGCAACTTATTTGGTCTTCATGAGGTCGAAGGGTTCTCATCAGAGCTGGAGGCTCAGTGACTTTGTTCTTGTTGGAATGAAGACAGTATCCCTGAAAGAAGAGAAATGTAAGATTTGGAAAGAAATTCAAATATTAAATGGTTGATCGGCATAATAATAAGACACAGTTGGAAACAATACCCTTTAGTCCAAATGTAAAAGATATTTCCATGATACCAGAGGTTAAAGAAAGGCATCAGGATTCATTTATTTTGAAGATTCTAACTGATATCATTCATTGACTTGAGAGTGAAAACAAAGGAGGAAAGGAGAGTGGAAAACAATGATGGAGATGAGAGGAATCTAACTATCTATGCAGTTGACAATATATAATGTTGCTATCGAGTCTATTCTTACCCAGGGTAGAGCTGCCTCACAAGATTGCCAAGGCTGTACTTTACAGAAGATTCAAATTGGAAGTCATCTACACATTTATTAAATAAGAGGAACTTTGCCAGACAAGAGTAGTTTAGGTAAAAGGATCTACAAAACATATGTTTTTTTAAAAGAGCTCTACAAAGCATCCAAAAGTGAGTGGGGGGGGTCTACCACTGTTCAGTCAGTTAGTCAACAGATAGTCAACAACACATCAAATAGCTTTATAATATTAGAAAATTCAACTTCTAATCAATGGCACAAAAATCTCAAACCGAGGGCAGCAATAACGTCAGATGACAAGCCAGTATTCATTACCATTATGTTTGCAATATTATTTGAAATAAGCTATGTCTTATGTTCCAACAAGGATCCCTGGTGGTGTAGTGGTGAGGTGTTGGGCAGCTATCCACTTGGTTGGCAGTTTGAAACCAGCAGCAGCTCCACAGAAGAAGGACTGGGCCTTCTGCTCCCGGAATCAGTTCCGGGTCTGAGAAACCCCCGGCGGCCACTGTGAGTCAGCATTGACTGGACGGTCCTGAGTGTGCTCAGGGATGTTCAAACAAGGCCCCGCACTGACCGGCAGCGTTGCACTCCTAAACTGGGGACTGGTTTGATTACATATTAAAGAAGATTTTCAATGTTGAGAAAAATCTGTTTGTTTTCTTTCCCCATAAGTTATTTATGTCTCTGATCATTACATGTGGTTGTTTTCTTTAAATATTCAAAATGAACATTTCTTCCTTTATTCGGGAAACCAACGGAACCTGCCCATTCATAGTTATCTTCAACCCAAGGCAATAAAAATAATAAATGATGTGACAGAGGTTTCTACTTACTTCTATATTCCAGATTTTTAACCATCCATCGGAATCACCTGTGACAAGGTATCGATTCAGCTTATCAATAGACATAATGATGGATCCAACACCACTATGAGCCAGAAATTCAGCCAGAAGTTGCTTCTTGAATGTGTCCCAGAATCTGACATAACCAGATCCTCCGCAAGATACAAGGTTAGCTCCTTCTAGTGGGAATGAGAACTCTAATGAGAAAACTGTAACAGACACCAAAAACGACATCTTGTAGCACCTTGCCTTGAAGAAAGCATGCAGGCACCGAGAACGTGGGCATGCTCACAGACAGAGCAAGAGAGTCACTTCCATTTCTCTCCAACAGAAAATGGCGCTAACACTATTAGCGCACTACCGGGCCGCAACGATATGAAATGGCATAGAAATGTAAGCTATTCCTTTGAATTTAATGTCCCTCCCTTTCCTTCCTTCATTATTTACTTGTGATTTGGTTTTTAAAGTTAGAATTCATTTGTTTCTTCGAATAGACTGATAAAACATTAATTTCAACATTCTGATAGTATGTCCTTTACATAACCCATCTTGAATGACCAATTTGGTGCATACACCAAAGAAGTGAAAAGTATGTGCCATAGATTTGGATACATATATGTAGCTGTGGCATGCTGGCTAATGATTTGTATCTCTCTCTGTCGTGGCCTGATGAGGGCTCAATATGAAAGCTTGTTTTTAACTTTTTTAGCAAGCATTCATTAAAACCCCATAGAATCTTTGTTGTTGTTGTTCATATGCCTAGAACGAATCTTTTCATTCTGAAGTTTCATAAGCTTTGTAGAGTCTTTTGCTTAAATTATTCGGTGGCAAAGTTCCCATTATTATTTGATAAATATGGAGGCGACTTCAAATTTGCTTCACAAATGTGCTACCAATTACCAATCATATCTTCTTAAGGTAGAAATAATGGCATAGAGCCGCTTCGGTGGAAACAATTTGGGAATACTGATAACATTAAGAAGAATTAGTGTTGAGAAAATGAGAGCAATTTCGGGATAATAGTTTAGATTGCAAGAACAAGTGAGATATAGAAAATAGAAAGTTTTAAAATCTAGCCATCTTAAAGTCTCTCTGAATATCCCATGGTGTTTCTCAAACTCTATTGGTTCTTGAGGTTAAAAAACTTTAAGAGAAAATGCTGCATATTTTCTATATGAAAAATAGATACCGGAGGAGGGCCAGAGAAAACACAGTTGAGATATGTTTATTCCTTTTATCAGGCATGCGAGACACAGGCATGGCTTAATGCCAAATGTTGAAACTAAAAACCTCACTGCCAACGAGTTGATTCCATCCTAGCGACAGAAACTCACAGGGGCAGTCCTAGCCTGTCTTACAGGGTCGCCATGAGGGGAAAAAGAGAGACTTTAAATACAATTATTTTAGGAAAAACTTAAACAATATGCATTATGCAAAAGTAGATTTTTATTTTGAGAAGATACCGGCTGAATCAGCACAGTGCTAAGATAGTCATTAAAAAACGGGGGGGAAATTAAACTGCTTATTTTGTCTGGACAGCATTAAATAACTCTAGTAAATCAAATAGCAGCACCATTGTTAGCATCTGCCTCTTGAGTTTTTCTGAAAAGTACATGCACACACACATACACACAAATGACCAAGTTAGCGAGCAGTCAACTTGTTCTGGCATCAGCAATTATCTTAAATAATGCGATTGCTTCTTCCTTAAGCTCCCCATTATTTTCTCTCAGCTCATTTGATACAAGTCCCTGCACCCTCCATCTAAGTAAGCTCCACTCTTCTCCGTGTGTATTAGGAGAACATTTCTGGCTGTGCCCACTTTCCTGCTGAAACCTCTATGCAGGGCAGGGACACCAATTCCAAATACCGGCCCTCCAACTCATTTGCCAGATTTGTGGTGCACTGGTTGCGTTCTCAGCAGGAAAGGTAGAGAGATGGTTTAAACCCACCAGTTTCTCTGTGGGAGGAAAATGTGGCAATTTGCTTCCATTGAGATTTACATCCTTGGAAAACATCGGGGACGGGGCAGTGTGTGAGCATTTTACTCTGCCCCATGGCGTCACTCAGCCTAGGAATCAGCACCAATGCCTTTGTTGTTGTTGCTGCTGCTGCTGCTGTAGTTGAATGCTCACATATGCAGCCCTGTACAAGCAAGTACTAGAATTTAGTCTGATTTCTTTTTCACCCTAACTTTTGGTTCCCATTCTGATCTCTAACTTCTTTGGCCTCGCAGTGTTAGGTACAAGTGTCAAACTCCGTAAGAACTAGTTAAGGTTGATAGCTGAGCATCACGTGCTTTCTTCACCACACTTTGCTGTAGCATCTTTATCTTCAGGGATCGTTTCATGAAGGTGAGTATCAAGCGGGGCCATGATGTAAGAACTGATTGTTCTTAAGTTGGGGCTAGGATTTAGTGTGAGCTCCAAACCCATTCCTGGATCTTTGCCTTTATTTTATTTTTTTAATTAATTTGCTGTAATTTGGGAACCAGTACATAAATCATATCATTCCATAGTTTAATCATGTCAAGCCTAATTGTACAATTTCTTGCATACTCATACATGTTTTCCAAAATATAGTTTTTCTCCCTGGACTTCTTGACATCATCTCCCTCTTGTCTCCTTCCCACCCCTCAGTAACCCCCTTCTCCCAAATCCTTGTTATGTTTTCTTTCCCTGCAGCTTCAACATAGTGTCTGGGGGCTTAAAGGTTTGCATTCAAACAAGCAGCCCTCTAAGCGAGGAGTCAACTAAGTCCACACAGAAAAAGCACACCAGCTTGTGTGATCCAAAATGACCATCACAAAACATGAGCACGGTGAGGAGAAAAATATCAGAGCAAAGATTATGAACACCCAACTTGTGGAGGGCTACGGAGATGGCGAGAGCCCAAAACTCACCTGCAGAGCATCTAGTCGGACTGAGCCACTGGCAGGTAGCTCTAGCCACAGGCAAGGGTCTCCATTAGCCTTATTACCAGGCACAGACCATTATAATTTGCATTGTGATTGAATGAACTCGATACGAGGGCAGTTGACCACCCAATGGATGGCAATTTGAATTTGTTCTCGGTACAAGTATTTCCAAGTGGTTCCATACAGAAATTTCTTCCCTGGCTTTTTGATTATTATTGGGGGGGGCTTTTCCTTCTTATGCATTATTAGTATTTTTGTCTGTATACTTTTATGTTATTACCCTTACCACCCTAGCCCAATTTTGTTTTTTTATTGTTTTCTGTTGGGTCTCCCAGCTGTGAAGCACAGGAGGTGTGGATGCATACTGGTAATAAGGGATACAAGGGGATTGAAGGAACAGAGGGAGGGGAGGGGAGGGGAGGTGGGAGGAAAAGGGGGTTAGGGAGTAATGAATGAAGGCAAGAGGGGAGAGGGAGCACCAGCATGGATTGTGATTGCATAAGTCATCTTAAAGGTGATTGACCTATGGGGTGGGGACGCAGAATGTCCTAGATTGATGTGGGGCTGATTGTACAATTCTCTGTGATATGATTGAATGATTGAACTATTAAATAATGATATGTAAGTTACTTACCCATAAAACTGTTGGAAAATAAATAAATAAAACCAAATTGACCACGGGGGTGGGGGCAATGCTCTATAATCGATGTCATGATGATTGACAGTCCCACTTGACATAACTGGACTACTGAATTGTATGATATGTAAGATACGTGCCAACGAAACTGTTGGGGGGAAAACTAGTTAGAAATGGCTTGAACTTTTTTTATTGCTCCCTTTTTTCTAATATTTTGTTATGAAGCAAAGCAACATTATAAAATATACTAGTATCAAAATATAAATATATACTTCACCCGCTGCTGCAGTGTTATTCCTTGCTTCCAGGAAGTAAAGCTTCCTTACAGCATTCTTGCCCTCGGGGTCCCCCTCAGAGAAGGAGGCTCCCAGTGTGGACTGGTCCGCCGTGGGGCTTGTGGGGCTGCTCTTGCCTGCACTGAAAAGCTTATGAGCCTCCATGTCTGTGAGGGAGACAAAACCAGGTGTCTTAATGACGAGAAAACACCTGCTTTCCAAACAATTGCCTATTAAAACCAGGCAAGTCTACCTCCATCAAATTTCTTAATCGACTTTCCACCAACAGCATCCAGCAAGCTGCTGTGGTCTTCTACGCACTTCCTCCGCTCCAATCCGAAGGATTGTTTGATTTCATTTGCATTTTGCATATTCCATTCACACGTCTTCCTTTGGCATGAATTAAGAGGAACTGCATTTTGTCATCACTGTTAACGTCTTAGAAATCCTGATATGCTCAAGAAAAAGGTGATTCTAATACCATGGCATGTTCAGCTTATTAACATTAATCCTTCAAACATTGTAATGGGCATGAGACATAATGACTACGTTATTAAAATGATCATTTTTAGCAAGTTACCCTGACAAAGGGAGTACTAATCATCTTTCAATTATCTAATTTCAGCTCCAAGGCATTAATTAATACAGGAGAGTCATCTTAGAGTCTATGAATGGCTTTATGTGGTTACATAAAACATTTATAAAGAACTTTTCAAAATTTCAAAGCAAGAGATGTATAGCAATGTCTTTTTGCATGTTCTAGAACTTTACCATTTGTTTACTTTTCCCTTTTCAGTGTATTTGATGGCAGTGACAATCAAGTTTGCTTTTAGAAGAAAGATGGCACTCTTCTGAAGGCGATTTAAAGGTAGAGGTAGAATTTTCACCCTTAGGAAAGTTTTTAAATGTTGGGAAGCAAGGATATTACATTGAGCGCCAAGGTGCATCTGACCCAAGCCATGTTATTTTCAATTACCGCCTGTGAAAGTTGGACATTGAATAAGGGAGACTGACGACTAGATGCATGTGAACTATGGATGGTTTGAGGGAAGATTACTAAAAGCACCTTGACTGCTAAGAAACATACGACTCTATCGTGGAAGAAATATAGCCAGGATGCTCCTAAGAGGCAAGGATGGTGAGACATCATCTCAAGGAGAACGAAATGTTTTGAAAATGATGATGGCAGTATATGTATAAATGTGCTTGCTGCAATGATTGGATGGGTGGATTTGATATGTCAGGAGAGACCAGTCCCTGGAGAAGGACATCATGCTTGGCAGAGGGGCAGTGAAAATGAGGGAGATCTCAGACAAGATGGCTTGACACCGTGGCTGCATCCATGGACTCAAAGAGGAGAACAGTGGTGAGGAAGGCAGTGCTTGGTTCTCGTGTATGTGGGGTTGTTACGAGTCAGAACCGTCTCGAAAACAGCCGACAAGCACAACGTGCAAGGTTTGCTCTTGTCAACCAGATCGAAGGTGTAGATGAACCCTCATGGTTGACTCTGTTCAGGAAGCAATGTCAGATGTTTGTGTCTGCAGCCAGGTCCTCTCTCAGTCTCAGAAATTGGCTTTCTTACTCTTAACATATTACTTCATGTTGCAAGAGAAACTGTACCCGAGAACCCATGCTTTCCTAAGGCCCAATTCAGCCACTGCAAGTTTATGCAATTGAGACAACAGAATCTCCCTGGGCCATGAGGAATGACAGATTCATTACCCTACTAAATTAGTCTAAGGAAAAACCTCTCTGAAACTAAAACAAAATGTGAAAGGTAATTGTCAAGACATTTTGCTTAAGTGTAAAATATTCATGTGCTCCGCTAAACTCATAAAATACAATAGACTTCTGTCTAATGCTCCTCAGGTTTCTAAAGCAAGGAATAATTTAAGATTTCCAGGTGGCATAATATTGAATGCAAGCTCTAGACTGTGCCTGCGCAGCCTATTAAGCGAGTATGTGTTCCCAATTTTGTACCAATGAGGTACCCAAGGTTCAAAGGCAATTTGGTGAGGTCTATTGGCAAAAACTAAATGAGTTAAAAATGAAAGGCCTGATCCTTGCTGTCAGTCATTCTGAAATGCTCGTATGACATAAAGAGAGGAAACGGCACACTATGGGGAATTTTTTAAGCCAAGTAAATCTTGAGGTTATTTGTCGTCACTTTGACAAGACCATGGTATCACCAATCCCTGGTGCTTATCGCCAATCGTCTATCATTTAGAAGCAAGCTGGATTGAGTACCTGCTTGAACAACAAGGCACACTGAGGTGACTCAGCCACCATTATTGCAGTTTCAAATTTGCACTCACCCCATTCTGGTTTTAGCAGCCTCTGGTAATCAGGGTGAAGGACATGGTAAGCATTTTCTGTGCTATTGTTCCACAGTATAATTTCTCCATCATAACTTCCTTTATGAACCAACATAAAGAAGAACAATTGCCAGAGGATTAGAAAGAAAATATAAGCAGCAGCAATTAGAGGGAGTTTTTATCTCTATTTCCTTTTGGAGACGTGAATGGTGACACCTCGTATTTTTATTAGACTTCACAGATTAATTTGTCTTTCATATGAAGCATATCATTTGATCTTCACAACACACCTGTACAGTTGGTGTTATAGATCTAACTGTTCTATATTTAACTTATAATAGCAAGGAATTCCAAATAAGGATTCTAGTATTAAACAATTTAAATCTGAGTTCTGGTTTTACCATCTGCCAGCTGGGTAACCTTGGGAAATATATTTAACTCAACTTGATGCCTCAGTTTCCTCATCTGTAAAGCAGAGGTAATAATTGTATATATGTTATAGGGTTGCTGTGAGCATGAAAAGCACTTTAAATTCTTAGTGCTGAAAACATGCTCATAATAATTATTATTATTATTATCAACAATTTGTATTATTAATTAAGGACAAGAAAATCAAGTCCTTCCAGGTTAAACCAACGCTTTCTGTTGCGTACATCTGAGTCTGTGTATGAGTATTGGTATGAGTGCGTGTTCGCTTTATTACTTCCCTCGGCATTCTTTATCAAATACTTCCTTCTGCAATCCTAAAATCTTCCCACCCCACAGAGATACAGAGAAGCGTTGAAAGAGACAGACGAAGCCTGGCAAAGCCTGTCCTGGGGAGGATCCAACTCGGCTCTCGGGTTCTCCGAAACCCAGCCCTACTGAGCAGAACAGCCCTGTCGTTGTTGAAAGCCGAAGAGAAGAGCTGAATGTGGGTGACAATGCCGATGGTGTCATGCTTGGCACTTGGAGAGAAGAGAAAGAGAGAGAGCAATACAATAAACTCTATGGCCCTGTAGATTTTCTAGAAAAACCACCTACGTAACTCACAGTTTGGCCAGAAAGATGGATTTCACCTACCCAAGGAGTGTCCATCTTCCCCTCGAATTTCTAATGGTTTATTTGTGAGGTGCTTGACCAAACATTTTCATATACATCTAATGGGATGAGAATGAATGGTGAGCTATTCTATTCACCGATTACTAACTATCCATCCAGTTAAAATATAGCAATTTCTGCAAACACGATATGGTGATAACATTCTACAAGATGTTTAGAAAAACAACCTTGAAGATGTCCACTTCACTGTCAGCATCTTATTTCCTTATGTCATGGTCTCCTGGGGCTGATAAAGGTCTAAAGGCAAGCTCAATGGCAGGGTCAGCCCTGACAGAAAACAATCAAGGAAGTCCTGAAACTGAAATTTTAAATGTAGATAGATCGATAAACCCCACATTGTATAAATTCCTAGTTCCTAGATACATTTGCTCTTTTCCTGTAAGTTTTCTCTTAATTGATGGCATTTTTAGTTCTATTTTAAAATTAGGCTGTCAGAATATGGATTTAATAATTTCATGCTGCAATCTATCTTTAAAAGTTGTTTTCTTTGACGGGAAACGATACAATGATTTCTTATCCTCTTTAATACAGCACATCAAAGCAGTCTGTAGACCTTTTTTTTCAAAGCTATGTATTCAATTTTATTTTATCATTTTATTGGGGGCTCATACAGCTCTTATCAAATCCATACATACACCCATTGTGCCAAGCACATTTGTACATATGTTGCCATCATGATTTTCAAACCATTTGCTTTCTCCTTGAGCCCTTGGTATTAGCTCCTCGTTTTTTCCCCTTTCTCCCCCATCCTCCCTTCCTCATGAACCCTTGATCATTTATAAATGATTATTATTTTTCCATGTGATACACTGACCCATGCATCTATAGACCTTTCTAAGAGCTTATTTTGTTAGACATTTTGTAAGTCCAGCCTTTCACCAGCACGACACCAAAACTACACCCTTCACTATTGCATGGATTCCAACTCATAAGGACACGATCGGTCAGAGTACAGCAGCCCCACGCAGTTTCTAAGGTTATCTATCATTTCAGAAGCAAAATGCCAAGTCTGTCTCCCACCACATTTCTGTCCAGCAAAGCTGTTGATGGGTCAAACCTGCTGGTTAGCAGCCCACCCCTTGGCCACTGTTCACCCAGGGCAGCTTACTCTCCAATGTTAGGGTTAATGATGCCAGGGGGTTAATATGGTCCCCTTACAAAACTGCGTAAGTACCAGAGGTGTGATGACTGCACAAGAGTTTTAATGTTCTTTCTAGGAAAAAGGACATTAAAAAAAAGAAACTAATATAATCCATGTCTCACTCCCGTATTTGACATCTTCAAAACCACTTCTTACGAGGAGATCATTCCTCAGCTGGGGTCAGTTATATGTTTAGGGGGGAGAAGACCAAGGCCCAAATGCTCCTGCCTATATCACTGTTCCATGACCACCTCCAACTGATGAAGCACTGTTATAATGGGGATCAGTGAATTTCAGTGGGAATTCATGAGCAGAGGATGTGAGACTCTATCTGTCTCTAAGAAGGTGATTTCACTTCCGTTGATGGACAAGCCTAGGAGGGGCAGCGTGCCCTTGGGGAAGATGTTTAACATTGCTTCTATAACTCCAGCGGGAGAATCCACCTAGGATTATATTGCTAACTGTGCATTTTTGACTGAGTTTCTTTTCAGCCCTCAATGACCCCGGCTACATACTATAGGCTACCTGGACATAAGATGTTATCTTTTCCAAGTATACTGTGTTCTTTAGAGAACACATCAGAATTATGTGATTTGGAAACCCCCCTAAGGGAACAGCGCATCACCTTAAACACACCTGTGGCCGATTAAAGGAACTGAAATCCTCTTCGGGATTTAAACAGAAACACCTTAATGTGAGAAGCCCCAGATCCCAAGGTCGTGGATTTGAAAGTCAATGGGCTTTGGCTCAAAGCTCTTGCTTTGGAGGGTGCCCAATGACTGACAACTTAAACTACAGTATACTGGCTACTTTTGTATGTGTGACAGTGTCCTCCCTTCAGACCTCGGCTTGCCCTAATGAATGAGCATTGTTTCCCTAACCCTCATTGCTTTCTTAAGCAGTGTTCACTTACTTAAGATTTTAACCCGTATAAATGAACACCCCATGAATTTTAGTCCAAAAAGCTTTCCTATGCATGTATATTTTCCTTTTTTCAAGAATAGTTTAAAATATATACCATTGGCTAGATTGATGATGGTATTATTACAATTATTCAATGTTTCTTGGTGGTGGTATAAAGTATTTCTCAACTAGTTGGTAATGCTGCCTATAAAGTGGACCAGGGACAGATATCAACTTAGACAGCATGCATTAGAAAGTGGATTACTACAGCTACAGTCAGATTAAAATACATTTTCATTTATTTTCCCTTTTTGCTCATTTTTAATTTGTTCTAGTTTCTATTTTCTTCTGATGTCTTTTGGATTGAGATTTTTCTGTTTTATTTTGTTGCCATTGTTGGCTATTTTGGTATGATATTGTTGATATGAATTATCTATCCTTGATATAGGAAATCGAGCATAGATCATCCATAGCAATAATCACTAGTTGCTTGTGGTTACGGCAGGGGAGGTGGGAGAAAATGGGGGAATGAATTATTATGAGTACAAGAATGGGGAAGAAAACATTGATTGTGGTGAGGATTAAGTAACTCCTTTCAATATATTCTGACCATTGAATTGTATGGTTCATGAACTCTATGCCAATAAATGGATGAAAACCACTCAGAGAAGGTGAAGGGGCATAGTTGCACAACTCAAAGAGTATAATCGGTGCCACTGGTGCACTTTACTGTGTAGATGCTCAACATAGTGCAGGGCAATATGAAGATTTTACAAGATGATTGTATGTGGTTTCACTCTATACCAAGTCGTGGCTGTACCATAATAAACTAGAGAAAAACTATGGTCTTGGATTTGAAATGCCATATGAATTTTCATGCAGCGGCACGTGGTAGAACCACATCTCCAGGTTCCTGAGCTTATAGCCACACAAATGCATCCCCATAGAAATGAGGATCAACAATAGCTTTAAATTCAAGGCCTACTTCTTCAAGAAATGTATTCACTTTGTAGTTGACAAAGGACTTTTTTGTTTGTGTCTGAGTTAAACCTTTCCGCACTGATTGTCAAGTGAACCTCCAATTGACCTGTAGCCAGAGTTTGTGGCGATAAAAATGCAGCACATAAGATGTCATCACGGTGCTGTACTCCTCCTTTCCATTCCTCAGGCTCGATGGAAACGCGGTTGAAGTTCAGGGGTCGAAAGACAGTAATTGCCCTAGTAGAAAATGAGATAGGGATTAGCTACTGTCCCAAGAATGATACAGGTATTGAATAGTCATCATCCACTTGGGTCATGTATTTTCAGAAATCTGAAAATCCAAAATGTTATTTATTGCCATTTGTCATCTGTAAGGCTTGATAGTACCACACTGAACTTCCTGCATCTTATTCTCGGTGAATTCTCTGGCAAATTAGTAATATTTAACACCAAATATTTAAAAGGCTCAATTACCCTTTGAAAACCATAAATACCACACATATATTAATTTACAGGCTTAATGATCTGTGGCAAAGACTAAACCAAAGTTTCTCTGTATGGGAACCATGAGACCACTAAAAGTTTTGTGATTTTAAAAATACGAGTTTCTCTAAACAAATGATATTTGAGAGTGTAAAGTGAAGAAGGTTTATTTTCCTCAGAGCATCTCAGAATAGTTAGCACATCCTGTTCCCTACCACCGTTGCCCGTCTGTCTTTCTCAGAAAGCATGTTGCGCTTCTCCATTTGTGAGCACACACTGGAACAAGACCCTCTGGAGCAGAGGGACCCCGGTAGAAAGGCTGTGAATGGAAAGAACGTTTGTCAAAGGTCAGCCTCTGTGGAACTGGGGGACGTGGTGACAGGGCCAGAAATGCACGGGGCATCCACACCGCCTTATTCTTACAAGGGCTTCATTCTAGCGGCCAGCCTAGGTAGAGCTACTGTGTAGAGCTACACAAATCCAAAAGGATTCATTTTTAAACTTTGATATGCTATATTTACCAAAACCATTCACTCATCACTCCTTGCAATTGCGACTCTCCCCTCACTTCTAAAGCTCTCTGCCAGGGTGATTCAACTCAGCCTAGGATGGGATGTGCACGTTCTTCCTCGTGGAAACACTTGTCCTGTGTCTTAGTTAATCCCTT